AGGGATCCTGGGGAATCAGAAGGCATCCTCAGGAGTCACTGTGAATCCAAGGAGGTTCGTCGTAGGAGTTCCTCAAGAATCCACAGGAACCCTCTGCAGTTCCGAAGAACCCGCAGGAATCCATGAGAATCCTCAGGAACCCTTACGATTCCCTGACACCCATACGAACCCTCAGGACTCGGCAAGAATCAGCAGGTCCGCAATAATCATCCAGAACCAATTGAAATCCCAAGGGCCCCTCGAGGATCCCTTGGGATCCTGAAGGGTTCCGATGGGTTCCTAGAGATCCCTGAGGATTCCTAAGGATTCCCATGAATGCCTGAAGCATTCCTGCGGATCCCTGAGAATTCCGATGAATTCCTGACGGATTCCTGAAGATTCCGATGGATTGCTGAAGGATCCCTTGGGGGTCCTCAGGATTCTTAGGCATTCCTGAAGGGTTACAACATTTCCTACAAATTCCTTCGGATTCCCATGGGTTCCTAGGGTATCATAGGGTTGATTCCTGTGTGTTCCCATAGGTTCGAAAGGATTCTTGGATTCCTAAGGATTCCGATGGATTCTGGAGAACTCCTACAAATCATGGGGGGGTCCTAATATGTCCTGGAGATCCCTGGAGATCCCTACAGGTTCTCAAGAATCCTAAGGATTCCTGCGGATTCCTGCGGATTTCTCTGGGTTCCTACGGATGCATATGGATTCCTGGGGATCCCTATGAATCCCTAGAGACCCTAAGGATTCCTTGAATATTCATGGGGATTGATAGAGATTCTCAAGGATTCCTGAGGATTCCTAGACATGCCTATGGTTTTCAAAACAGTGCTGCGGATCCCAAAGGATTATTGTGGATTCCTACGGATTCATATGTCTTCCTTAAACTTTTCATGGATTCCTGAAGAATCCGGGGGAATCCTAGGGAGTCCTACGGATTCCTGAGAATTCATAGGGACGCACGGAATCCCGCGGATTCCTATGGATTCCAATGGATTCAAGGGGGGTCCGATGGATTCCTCGAAAGTCCCTGGTATTCCAAACGACTCCCAGATACTCCTATGGAATATTGGGAACGCCGATGAGTGACGACGACGACGACGTCGACGACGACGACGACGACGACGACGGCAACGACGGCGACGGCGACGACGACGAGCGAAAGCGAGAGCGACAGAGAACGACAGCAGAGCCACGAAGGACACGAAGTAGGCCACGAAGGGCGACAGCGGGGACACGAAGGGAATGCGTATGGGGCCACGAAGAGCGCGAACGAGCGTGGGCCACGAAGTGCAGATAATGCGGGGCCACAGAAGGCAACGATGGGGCCACTGAGGGTAGCACCTGGGCCACGTAGGACACTGAGGGGGCCACAAACGGCGACAGCGGGGTCACGAAGAGCATGCACATGGGGCCACAACGGGCACGAACAAGCGGGGGCCACGAAGAACACACGTATTTTGGGCCGCGGAGGGTAGGAACGGGGCCACTGAGGGCAGCAACGGGGATACGAAGGGCAGCGAGGGGGCCACGAAGGGCGACAGCGGGGCCACGAAGGGCACGCATATGGGGCCACCACGGGCGCGAACGAGCGGGGGCCACGAAGGGCATACAGATATGGGGCCACGAAACAAAGCGAGGGGGCCACGAAGGGCTGCAACGGGTCCACGAAGGGCCGCGAGGGGGCCACGAAGGACTGCAACGGGGCCACGAAGGGCTGCAACGGGGCCACGAGGGGCAGCGAAGGGGCCACGAAGGGCTGCAACGGGGCCACGAAACAAAGCGAGGGGGCCACGAAGGGCTGCAACGGGGCCACGAAGGGCAACGAGGAGGCCACGAAGGGCTGCAACGGGGCCACGAAACACAGCGAGGGGGCCACGAAGGGCTGCAACGGGGCCACGAAACACAGCGAGGGGGCCACGAAGGGCTGCAACGGGGCCACGAAAGGCAGCGAGATCCAGATTCCTAGGTAATCTGCGAAGGAGTCCTAAGCGTGAGCGCGACTCCTGGGTGCCTGGGTGTCGGGAGCGCGGCGTTGGAGTAAATTGCAAGAAATTCAAACGCAAGGGCGCTATTCTTCTGTAAATTGCAAGCAAGTCTCCAGCGAGAGCGCGACTCCAGAGCGCAGAAGGAGCGATTCCTGAATACATCGTAAGGAAGTCCCAAGCGAGAGCACGATTCTTGAATAAAATGCGAGGAGGTCTCGGGCGGGAGCGGGGGTCCTGGCTAAATTGTAAGAAAGTCTCAAGCGGGAGCCGTTGTTGTTGTAACCCGGGGGCCAGGGGGCCAGTTTGAGCAGGAAGACTTTCCTTGACAACAAACAAGGTGCGAGCCCCGGGGGGGGCACTTCAATTGAAAAAACAATGTTCACCGGTGGGGGGGGGATCAGCAATAATTACTCCAAGAATGAGAGTTCAACAACAACAACAACAACAGCAGCAGCAGCAACAGCAGCAATCACAACAACAACAACAACAACAACAACAACAACAACAACAACAATTACTAGCACGTGGGGACACTCCGTTCTCACCAGTGCCAGGGTTTTCATACGACGCCCGCCAATACCCCCACTTTGTGGGGGGGCCGGTTCAAGCTCTACCACATTTCCAAACGACTCTTCGCCACCACCCACACCCAGCTTCCCGCCCTATGACGTTCGGACACTTCACTTCGTGGCCTGCGGACGACCGTGGCTACTACACTGGCGCATGGGTACAGTGACTTGTTGTGGTAACATTTTCTGGACGCTAGCTTAGTATACGACTTTTCCCCCTGTTCCAACACTGGACACCTGTACTGGTTTTTGGTGGTAACGTGTTCCTGACGCTAGAATAGGAAACCACGGTAAACCAGTACGACGCCGGTACTGTCCCTGGTGCGCGGTGCGATTCGTATGATTTTATGTTGCGCGGTGCTAAAATTCCTAAGAAACCCAATGGTTTTTGAAGATTTCGGCGTGCGCGCGCGAAGAAAAAACGAATGTGTCCCGCATGGTATTATTTGACAGGGATGATGGCCCTGGCAGGTGCGCAACCGTTGTTGGAGAAGTTCGAAGCACGTGAAAAAGTTGCTCGCAAAAGCCCGTTTGACAGAAATGTTTAAAAAGTGTTGGGTTTCCTACAAATCCGCAAGAGCGCGCGGGATGAAATTTTGACACTTTTTTTTGAAAAAACCATTGGTTTTTTATGTTTTTATGTTAAAATCGCTACGAACACTAAGGTTTTGGAAGGATTTCGTCTTGCGCGCGCGAATGTCCACTTTACCTTATTTTTTGCAAGGGATTCTTGAAGTTCGGTTATGTTAGAACAAGAAATGTCCACTTTGCCTCATTTTTTGCAAGGGAAAACCGCCCGTAACAAAACAACCGGATCCGGACCAACCCGTTTTGCCAGAGACTTCCTCACGAAAATAATGAAAACATGGCTGCGGCCTAGGCGCGGCGAGGGGGCCATGCACCAGGGGCCCCAACAATAATTATTCTTTAGAAGTAATAATGTTCAACAACTATTCCAATACAGTTCGCTCCTACCGGCCCGCGAGTCATTCACTATGCATATCCCAAACCCTGGATACCTGCCCTCTTCGCCTTCGATCGTAACCTCTTTGGGGGGGTATGTTCCTCCCTGGCCACGTGTAATTGGAAAAGCCCTAAAACAGGGAAACGAAAGGGAAAAGACAAAAGAGAGGACGAAGGAATCGGAGGAAGGGAGGGATTAGAGGGGCAAGAAGGACGACGATGATTTGTGCCGTGAGTTGCGATTCAGCTTGCGCCATGGCTTGCGCCAGCCATTCCAACACAGGTTAACAAAGGCTTCGTGTCACAGGCGAGAGCGCAATTCCTGAGAAGGGGATGTCTGGCGGGAGCGGGAGTCTAGACTGAAGCGCAAGGACATCTTAAGCGGTAGCGCCGATCTTGAGTAAATTGTGAGGAAGCCTCAGACGGGAGGGGGGGTCCTGAATAAATTGCGAGGAAGTCACAGGCAGGAGCGCCGATCCTGAGTAAATTGGGAGGAAATGGCGGGAGCCGTTGTTGTTGTTGCTGTAGGCCGGGGGAACAACAATGCAGTTTGACCCGGACTAAATTGTGAGGAAGTCTCAAGCGGGAACGCCGTTCCTGAGTAAACTTAAAGGAAGTCTCAGACGGGAGGGGGGGGTCCTGAGAAAATTTGGAGGAAGTCTCAGGCGGGAGCCGTTGTTGTAGTAGTCGGGGGGCCAGGGGCACATTTTGAGCACCAAGACTTTCCGTCAAAAAACAGGGTGCGAGCGTCGAGGGGCACACTTTCACTAAGAAAAAACCATATGCACCGGTGAGGGGGGATCAACAATAATCATTCTGCAGAAATGAAAGTTCAACAACGACACCACCACCACCACCACCACCACCACCACCACCACCAACAACAACAACAACAACAACAACAACAACAACAACGACAACAAAAACAAAAACAAAAACAACAGCAACGCAACAACAATCCGCACCACATAATTCCACTGCAGCCACACACACACCCATGGACAGTTAATGACCGTTCGGCCCCTTCTTAGTCCGCGTCAACCTCCCCCTTAAGCCTTAAGGTCCTCATGCTCCTCCTCCTCCTCCTCATCCTCCATCTCTGCGACCTCCAATCACCACCAACAACCTTCAATCCAATGACAACAACACCTCGGCCAAACACAAGAAGCAGGTCCATGAAAATCACGAGCCGATGGCATCCGTGATCACAGAGGCAGCAAGGACTACGACTTGCCCTGCCTGATTGTGTGTCCGGGTTTACTTCGCACAGTTCGAACAATGCCAAGTGCAGAGCCCCCAAATGCCGAGACGCGATCATCGCACTCTGGCGTGTCAATAAATGCCAGTTGTGACCCACCAGATGACTCGGTCTGTCTGTATTTCTGTCTGCCTGCATGCATGTCATCATCACTATCGTTCCCACCCTCCTCGCCCCCATCATCCCTTTCCTGCTCTGTATCCTCCTATCCTCGTCCTACTCCGCGGCGTCCTGGGATGCGGGGCCACCCACGAGGCTGAACCCCGTCAAATTCACGATGGTGTCCACGGCGCCCTCGCCCGTGTAGGGATCGGAGAGGTACTCCTGCTGGAGTAGGCGCGTCCCAAGCAAAGACGCGCTCCCCCCTCCTCAACCCACCCTCACACTCACCTTCGTCCACATCATATATTTCCACCTAAATAATGTTTCCTCCATCTCGTCCTCTATTCGTCCGCATTCCCCTCCCTTCCCCACTTCTGCCTCTAGTTCTCGCATGTCACATGCCCCGCACCGACCCCTCCTCTCTCATTCTCACCCTTCTCCACTCCGATCCCCTTTCTCCGCCCTCTCGTCGTTCCACCGCCTCTTCCTCGCCCCCTGGCCTCATTCCTCTTTGCATCGTCCTTCCCCTCCTACCTCCTCTCCCCCACCCTGCGCCTCACCCACTGTTGCCGTGTATACACATCTCTCTCCTCCACACCCTCGTTATAGATCCCTCTTCCTTCATATCTCTTGTAATCTCTCTCTCTCTCTCTCGCTCGCTCTCTCTCTCTCTCTCTTTCTCTCTCTCTCTCTCTCTCTCTTTCTCTTTCTCTTTCTCTTTCTCTCTCTCTCTCTCTCTCTCTCTCTCCCGCTTTCTCTCTCTCTCTCTCTCTCTCTCTTATGTATTTCTCTCTCTCTCTCTCTCTTTCTCCCTCTCTCTCTCTCTCTCTTTCTCTCTTCTCTGTATATTCGTCGCCGTGAGCTGTGATCTCTAAAATGCAAAGGCCCGAAATAACCGAAGGGTGAAAGTCAAAATGACCTTGGGATGATTGTTTCACATGTTGAGAACCAATGGGAAGCCCCTCGGGGCCGAGGGCTCAAAATGTCCGCTCGGGTTCCCCATCTGGGCCCCTTTTTTGGACCGGGTTTGGGCCTTCTTGGGTCATCTTTGGCGCCTTTCGGGCCGTCTTGGGGCCCTCATGGGCCAGCTGGAAGCCCTCTTGGGGGCCTCTGGGGCCGTCTTGGGGTGATCTTGGGGGCCGTCGTGGAGCCTCGGGAAGCCGAGAACGCGAGAATGCCAAAATCCTTCAAAAACACCGAAGGACAATCAATGATTTGGGCCTTTGGGGGCCCTCTCGGGGGGCCTCTTGGAGACCTCTTTGGGCGTCTTGGAGGCCTCTTGGGCCGCTTTACGGCCAGTAAACATTCCAGCCTGTCCCAGATTTGGGCCCAATGACCCCACCAGGCTCCCAAGAGGTCCCAAGAGGACGCCAAATGGCCCCAACAGGCCCCCAACAGGCCCCCAAGAGGCTCCCGACTTGCTCCCAAGAAGCCCCCGAGAGCGCCCCGAAGAGACCCGAATAAGCACCCCTGAGAACTCTGACCCACAACCCAGGCACTCTGGAGGCACGGGCCGAAGGCCATTCGATATTATGACGCACCAGAACCCCAAGGGAATGATTATCCCGCCGTGGGGGGAAGCCCGACAAGGGCTATAATGGGGGGAATGGTGGTTGATACCTTTTGGGCACGTCTGCGCCCCATCGAGCTCGCACATCCACCTTGGTCACGCCGATGCACGTGTGCAGATGTGTGTGTATATATAAATATATGCTAGAACCATCGCGCGCTTCGCGCGCGCTCAGGTTCTAGTTGAGGTCACCGCTCAGATGCGATGCCCGCGACGATTCTTACCACGAAGACGGCGGCGTGCACTGCAAGCCACGTGTTCCGGAAGCGCCATGTTCCGGAGGAGCGTTACCGGAGCATGGGGAACCAGAGGCTCCCCCGCTCTTCCCCCCTCCCGGACTATCCTGCCGAGGAACTCTTGGGTTGCGTAGGGCCGGTCTTGCGGGCTCCCTGGGGTTCTCTGGGCCCGCCTAGGGCTGTTTGGGAGCGGACCTGGAGGCGCGCTGGGCCTTATTGGAGCGCCGGAAAGCCGAAAAGACAAGAAGGCCAAGATCCTCCAACGCCTACGAAAAATTAACGATTTTGGCCTGTTGGGACCCTCTTGGGGGTGCTCCTGGAGGCGTCTTGAGCCATGTTTGAAGCCTCTTGGGAGCTACCTGGGGCCTCCTGGGGCTCTCTTGAGGCGGAAGCCATGGGTTTTCCGGACGCGGTTCGTCTCTTGGACACCTCTCGGGCATGTTTTGGGGCACTCGTGGGCTGCCCTGGGCGCTTCTTGGGCCAGCCTTCGGCTCTCCGGGACCACCTCGGGGCGGCCTTGGGCGCTTCTGGAGCTGTCTAGGGGCGGTCTCGGAGGCCTCCTGGGCCGCCGCCTAGGAGCGTCGGACAGCCGCAAAGATCAGAAGGCCAAAACCCTGCCAAAAATCTTGGGCGATCTTTGGACAATCTTGGGGACCCCGGGGGCTGTCTTGGAGGGTCGGAACGACGACAAAAACAAGAAAACCCAAAACCTACACAAAAAACAACGGAATTCAATGATTTCGGCCTCTTGCAGCCCTCTTGGGAATGCTCTTGGGGCTCTCTTGGGACGTCTTGGAAGCCTCTTGGGCCGTCTGGGAGCCATTTTGGGCGTCTTGGATCGATCGTGGGCGTCTTGGTGTGGTCTTAGGCGTCTCGAGGCACGCTTGGACCGTCATGGGCGCGTCTTGGGGCAATGTTTGGAGCCTCTTGGGCTGTCTTGGGCGCCTTTTGGGCCGTCGTTGGGGCCTCTTGGGCCGTCTTGGGGCTCTCTTGGGAGCCTCTTGGACCAGCTTGGGACGGTCTTGGGGGCCTCTTGGGCCGTCCGGGAGCGTCGGGACGACGAAAAATTGGGTCAGCCCAAAACCTTGAAAAGCCTGAAGGCAAGCAATGATTTTGGCTGGTTGGGTCCCTCTTGGGAATGCTCTTGGGGCTGCCTTGGGACGTCTTGGACGCAACTTGGGCCATCCGGGAACCATCTTGGGCGTCTTGGAGCGGTCTTGGGCGCGTCGAGGCACGCCTTGACCGTGTTCGACGCCTCTTGGGCCGTGTTTGCAAGCTCTTGGGCGGTCTTAGGCACCTATTGGGTTGTTTGTAGGCCCTCTTGGGCCGTCTTGGGGCGCTCTTGGGGGCCTCTTGGGCGATCTTGGGACGGTCTTGGGGACTTCGTGGGCTGTCTTGGAGGGTCGGGACGACGAAAAAACAAAAAAGCAAAAAACCTGCAAAAAAAATATTCACTGCGTGGAGCTCCCCATATGTGCATCTACTCGCATGGACCTGTCCGCCGTGAATGTCTAGGCGCAAGAGCTTTCGAATATTAACGGGCTTCAGTTGTGACGGTCTGGACATCAATCTAACTGCGAATGAATTGGAGTGTGAATGAGCCTCAGTAGTACGAGCGCGTCTCTGTGCATGAGCCTGGGGCCTCCTGGGGCCTCCTGAAACCTACTGGGGCTTCCTGGGGTCTCCAGGAGCCTCTTGGGACCTCCTGGGACCTCCTAGGAAGGTTTCGTGCCCCAGGAGAGGCGCAATCTATAGCAACAGACGTACATAAAACATTGCGGATTAGAGCCACAGGAGAAGGGCAATCTATAGGAACACGCGTAAAACACCAAGGACTCGTGCCCCAGGAGAGGCCCAATACATAGGAACATGAGTAAAACATTTAGGATTGTGTACACAGGAGAAGGACCATCTATAGAAACATACGTAGAACATCAAAGAATCGTGCTCCAGGTGAGGCCCAATCGATAGGAGCATACGTAAAACACATGGGATTGGAGCCACTCCTGTTGCCTTCTGAGGCCTCCTGCTCCTGGGGCCTCTCGGGGCCTCCTGTTGCCTTCCGAGGCCTCCTGGCGCTTCCTGTTGCCTCCTGGGGCCTCCTGTGGTTTCCTGAGGCCTTCTGGAGCTTCCTGGGGCCTCCTGGAGCCTCTTGGGACATCCTGTGGCCTCTTGAGTCTTTCTGTGGCCTCCTGATGCCTCCTGGGACCTCATGTGGTCTCCTGGGGCCTCCTGGAGCCTGTTGGAGCCTCCTGTGGCATCCTGAGAAGAATCTGCGCCCACGAGCCTGGCCACCAAAACAAGCAAACCGATCGAGACATCCTCAAAATCTGGCCCACCTGGGGTGTGAAAATGAGCGCCTCGCTCGAGACATCCTCCAAATCTGCTCCGAAAGCGAAGGATGTTGGGCACAGAAACAGGCAAACCGCCTGAGACATCCCCACAAAATGGCCGCGAACGAGCCCGTGCAACCACCCCTGGCGGCTCCCCTTAGGGGTGCTGAAATGAGCGCCTCGCTCGAGACATCCTCCAAATCTGCTCCGAAAGCGAAGGATGTTGGGCACAGAAACAGGCAAACCGCCTGAGACATCCCCACAAAATGGCCGCGAACGAGCCCGTGCAACCACCCCTGGCGGCTCCCCTTAGGGGTGCTGAAATGAGCGCCTCGCTCGAGACATCCTCCAAATCTGCTCCGAAAGCGAAGGATGTTGGGCACAGAAACAGGCAAACCGCCTGAGACATCCCCACAAAATGGCCGCGAACGAGCCCGTGCAACCACCCCTGGCGGCTCCCCTTAGGGGTGCTGAAATGAGCGCCTCGCTCGAGACATCCTCCAAATCTGCTCCGAAAGCGAAGGATGTTGGGCACAGAAACAGGCAAACCGCCTGAGACATCCCCACAAAATGGCCGCGAACGAGCCCGTGCAACCACCCCTGGCGGCTCCCCTTAGGGGTGCTGAAATGAGCGCCTCGCTCGAGACATCCTCCAAATCTGCTCCGAAAGCGAAGGATGTTGGGCACAGAAACAGGCAAACCGCCTGAGACATCCCCACAAAATGGCCGCGAACGAGCCCGTGCAACCACCCCTGGCGGCTCCCCTTAGGGGTGCTGAAATGAGCGCCTCGCTCGAGACATCCTCCAAATCTGCTCCGAAAGCGAAGGATGTTGGGCACAGAAACAGGCAAACCGCCTGAGACATCCCCACAAAATGGCCGCGAACGAGCCCGTGCAACCACCCCTGGCGGCTCCCCTTAGGGGTGCTGAAACCAGCGCCCCGCCTGAGACATCCTCACAATCTGCTCTCCAAGCGAAGGATGTTGAGCCCAGAAATACTGTGTATGAGTAAGTCTGGGTATGAGTGAGTCTGTGTATGAGTACGTCTGGGTGTGAGTAAGTCTGTGTATGAGTAAGTCTGTG